CAAAATGCAGACGCTATGATCGATTGTGGACTGTATTCATCCCGGGGACCTAATGACTTCCATCGACTTGAAAGAAGCGTACCTGCACATTCCAATCCGTGCGGCGCATTGTCGTTTCCTACGCTTCTTCTTCAACGGCCAGCATTTCCAATACCAGGCAATGCCTTTTGGCCTGTCGTCAGCCCCACGAGTCTTTACCAAGGTGTTGGCCGCTGTGGCAGCCTCTCTCCGGCTGATCCCCATCCGGCTGTATTGTTACCTCGATGACATCCTCATCCTCTCGTCGACGCCCGAACTCGCCCTGAGGGATCTCGAGTCGGTATCTTCCACTCTTCGGTCTCATGGCTTCACGCTGAACGAGAAAAAGAGTCATCTCCATCCCACTACTCGAATTACATATCTTGGGGCGATCCTGGACTCTCGACTGGGCCTGGTTTTTCTGTCGGACGATTGCCAGCTCAGCATCCGCTCCCTGGTCCTCCAGGTCCTGTCGCTGACCCGGGTGCCGTTGCTGCTCCTGTCGACCCTTTTAGGAAAAATGATATCCTGCATTTTCATTGTCCCTTGGGCCAGGTTCCACTCCAGACCTCTGCAATGGTTCCTGCTCCCCTTTCAGAAGGCACATTGCAGCAACTCCAGGTCTCGGGTCCGGTTACCTCAGTCAGTCCACGATTCCCTACTCTGGTGGATCTTGCCATCCGTGCTCTCCGGGTGTTCGTTCCAAAGCCCCCCACGTGTAACAGTGACCACAGATGCGAGCCTGCTGGGCTGGGGTGCCCATCTCCTGAACGAGGTCACGCAAGGTCGATGGTCTCCAGCAGAAGCAGCCAACGACATCAACTGGCTGGAGCTTCGCACAATCAGACTCGCGCTGTCGCACTTCCAGCCACTATTAGAAGATCGACACATCTGCGTCCTCACGGACAACGTGATGGCAAAAGCGCACGTAAATCGCGAAGGGGGAACGCAATCGGCCCCCCTCATGGCGGAAGCGACCTTGCTCTTGACTTGGGTGGAACTTCACACTCGGTCGTTGACGGCGGACCACATATCCGGGACCGACAACCACCAGGCGGATTGGCTGAGCCGTCAGCAGATCGACCATGCCTAGTGGCGACTCCATCCATCTCTATTCCAGGAGCTGTCTGTCAGGTTCGGCCGTCCCATTCTCGACCTTTTTGCTCATCCAGCCAATACACAACTTCCGAGATTTTTCTCCCGGTTCCATTGTCCCATGGCAGAAGGCACCAACACCCTTCTGTGCACCTGGCCACGGGGTCTTCTCTATGCCTTTCCCCCCTCCCGCTACTGCCGAGGGTGAGCCGGAAGATTCTACTGGAGCGAGCGGATGTCCTCCTGGTCGCTCCCCACTGGCCGCGCAGATCCTGGTTCGCCGACCTGGTGGACCTGTCGGCGGCCGCCTCGTGGTGGATTCCGGACCACAGGATTTCTCTCAGCCAGGGGGTCATACTGCATCCAGATCCTCAATGGTTGCAGTTGACCGTCTGGCACTTGAGAGGGTCCTCCTGACCAAGGACAACCTCTCCAGAGGGGTTGTTTCAGTTGTCCAGGCCTCCAGGCGGCCTTCCACAACCAGGATTTACAATGCCACCTGGCGATCCTTCTTGGCCTGGTGCATCGCCAGACATTCGGACCCCACCTCTGCTTCGGTCTCCAACGTGTTGGAGTTCCTGCATGCTGGCTTCGACAAAGGTCTGGCGGCAAACACTCTCTACTCTCTCTACTGATTCGGAGGTTCCTCTTTCTCGCCATCGACGGATTAGATCCTTTTTGAAGGGAGCATCTAATCTACGCCCTCCATGTATCCATCGATATCCGTCATGGGATCTACCGCTGGTTCTTTGAACCCTCACGACTACTCCCTTTGAGCCTTTGGCCTCTGTTGGACTGCGCTTCCTGACCCTTAAGGTCATCTTGCTAATTGCGGTGACATCAGCTCGGCGAATTTCCGAATTGGCTGCCCTGTCAGTTCGAGAGGATTTATGTATTTTCCATTCTAATCGAGTCGTCCTCAGGATGGATCCATCTTTCCTCCCGAAAGTCAATTCCATTTTCCACCGCGCGCAGGAACTGGTCCTCCCGGATTTTTGTCCGGACCCTAGACACCCGTTGGAGGACCAGTGGCACACCCTTGATGTTTGGAGGGCCCTACGTCGATACATCAAGAGGACCTCGGCATTTTGTCATTCTGAAGCTCTCTTCGTTTCCTTTCTCCCAGTGTCTCTGGGCCAGAAAGTTTCATCTACTACGATTGGACGATGGCTAAAGGCCTGTATCTGTAAGGCCTACTCCGCGTCAGGCAAGCCTCCTCCCGGCAAAGTGCTTCCACATTCAACCAGGAGTGCCTCCACCTCAGCTGCGTGGGCAACTCAGGCCTCGGTTTCGGAGATTTGTAAAGCAGCCACCTGGACCACCTTATCACCGTTCATTAGGCATTATAAGGTCGATGCCTTTGCAGCTGCTGACGCCTCCTTTGGCCGACAGGTTTTACAGTCAGTCGCTGCTCCAGTACCTACTCCGGACCTGTCTGATGGCCCCCCCAACTAACTTGCTTGGGTATATCCCACGCTTTGGATTCTCCAAGCAGCGCGCTGGAGAACGAACGTTGCTTACCTGAACATTCCTTCTCGGCGCGCTGATGGAGAATCCATCCCTCCCTACCTTGTGTACTCAGGTCCGGGGGTTTTGACTTGGGACTTCGTTTGCTTCTTTCCTGTTCTTCATGAACTAAACTGACACCAGTCGAGCAGAGGAGGCGGAACCGAGGCAGAAAATTTAAAGTGATACACTCAGTCTCTGACAAGCTCAATGTGAACATTACCCACGCTTTGGATTCTCCATCAGCGCGCCGAGAAGGAACATTCAGGTAAGCAACGTTCGTTTAACACCAACACCAATTGATTAACTTTTATCAGTTTTTGGATGTCGCACTCCCAGACATGGGAAGAGTTGTGGCAGAAATAGAAAAAAACAACAACAGCAAAGAGATCCCCAGCATCCTGTGTATGGACCTGAGCCCCATCCCTCACGACTGAGAACAAAAAAGTGTTTTTTTGCAGATGACAGAATCAGTTTCATCAAATCCCGGAAACCCATTGAGTAGAATTATGGTAATGTGAGCTACAATGAAAATTGAAATTTAAATCCTATGGCTCAATACCGTCTCACGTATGGAAAACTTTGAACAGATTGATAACGGGGATGTCATGATATACAATGGAATGGAATGGAATGGAATGGAATTTTTTATTGGCCAAGTGTGATTGACACAAGGAATTTGCCTTGATGCATATGCTCTCAGTGTACATAAAATGAAAGATACGTAAAAATAAAATAAAAGATATAAGAAGAATTTGGAGACTTGGGGCTATATCACAGGAGATGGTAACTGCGAATGGGAGAAATTGCAGAATCCTGAACATTTATTGATATGTCACAATCTTGATGGATCATGTACAGTGGACGGTTTGTTCCTGGACAATGATAAAGCTATCCAAGCCACTACTTTCTGGCCCTTAAATGCTATATTATGTCACATACATGTTTAAATTTCTTCTGTGTTTTAATTTTTAAATTCCTTATATAGTTGTTGAAAGTTTTCTTTATTTAGGTTATTATACTAATTTTAAATATAATATTTTTCTTTTTAACATAAGTTGTTTTGGACTCAGAAAATAAAAATAAATAACCTTTTATTGTTAATTGCGAAGTCGTGTCCAACCCATCGCAATCCCTTGGACAATGTTTCTCCAGGCTCTCCTATCCTCTACCATCCTTTGGAGTCCATTTAAGCTCTCAAGTAACCTTATATATATTCAAAAGCTATTTTCACCACAGAGTTATATGATGTTATACGATATTATTTCTTAAAAGTGTATTTATCTGCTTAACTAAAAAAGATAAATAAAAATTGGGGCAATTTAGAGCAAAATTGGGAAAATAGAGGTATTAGGAATCCAATTTATCAATTTATCTTCTGGTAAATTGAAGATGTCTAAATCCACCATGGTAGACATTGTACGAGAATCTCTTTAACAAGCTCTCAGAATTCTAGTCTTGAAAATTAACTTTGATAGTGACTGAGACTCAAAACTAAGAAATTACTGTTGGCAAATATTTATATATTAGAAAACCAAGGTTGGAACTTTGCTTCTGTTAGTTTAAATTTGTGGATTTCCCAGAAGACAGTTCAGGTTGCTATAATCTAGAACTACAGAATCTAGAATTTCAAGAACAGAAAATGGCACAAAGCAGGTGCCAGAATTTCTGCAATATTCCTAAATAGTACCTGTGGACTTCCAAATTGAAATTACTTTTGTAAAAAAAGAGAATAGAAATATTTTTTTACAATTCAGTGATGTTTATCTCTTCTTCACTTGAGGAAATTATTTCCAGTGTATCCATTCACTAGAAAGGGGCATTTAAACCTTCATTTCTGCTTGCTGAAGTGTATGAAAATTGAAACGTATTGTGTATGTTCCAACTAGGTAATGATCAGTGTCTGTTGAGGGAGAAGAATGACTAAAGCAGCTTTGCAGCATTGTGTGCAAGCCCCCTCTTTTGTACTGTACATAGTGATATTGCATGCATGTACAAAGGTGCAGAGTTTGTGGTGTGATTCTGTTTCCATCTTTTGACAAAAAGCATGATCCTGCTGGTGCCCTTGATACTCATTTAGTTTGCCCTATTTAGACAAAATTATTGCTCAGAGGTTAAGCCACAGATATATTGCATGTTGCTGAGAATGGAGCCAAGAGGACAAAGTATTTATATAGGAGGATTTTCTCTGTGGCTTTCTCCGTTTAATATAGCAGATTTGGGGCTATAGAATATAAACCAAATGTCAGCATCACCGGTTTATTTGCTGTCAGTTTATTTTTTAAGTACTACGTATTTCTGTAGCTTCAGTAATTCTTTCACTGCAAACGCCAATATTTTTGGCATATGTTCATATTCATCCCTCCCTTTTTATCTTTCAGATTACAGACTTGTGTGGTGCTAAACATGTCGGTTATTTTGGTCGTACTCAGTTTTATGCTGCTCTGAAGCTTATAGCTGCTGCACAGTCTGGTCTCCCAGTACGAATAGAAAGTATTCAGAATGGTAACTGATTATACTCAATTGCTTTACTTTGGACAATTTTATTTTTATTTAATAAATAAAATATTTTATTTAAAATATTTATTAAATGGTCGTTATATTTTCTATTTCTATTCTATTTCTATTTTTACAGTATACACACATATATATTGTGTTGAAATATTTCTCTGTGCATAATGCAATACAGAAATATAGAACTTCAGGAAGCATATTTGTGCAGATATGTAAAATTAAGTTATGTATTTGCATACTCCTTAACCCAAAATTGCTTTTCACTTTGCCTTAATGTGAAACACCAAAAATATTTATATTGAAGTAATATTAGGGTAGCTTTTTGCCCAGTTTAACACAGCAATATTACCTGCATTTTAGAACTTCTCTGTAAATTTAGTGTTTTAATATTGGTGGGCATTCACTTTTTATCTACACCTACTATATAAAAAATTTGAAAGTTTTCAGGTGGAAAAACGTAATCTAAATATTTTGAGTAAGATAAGAATAGATGCCTAAAAAAGGAGATTCCCTTCCCCAAGTTAATTTACTTTTTTGTTTATCAACCCTCCTTCCAAATTAGTTTATTTTTTATTTGCCAGATCCATTCTGCTTTTGTGGTCAAGAAAGCTTATAGATTCTTACAAATAATCATAGGTTAAAATAATCTCTTAAAGTTCAAAACTATATACAAATACAAAATACAAAAGTGTTCTTTCTCTTTGTATTTTCCTACTAATTTGGCCTGTACTAAATTTTAATTTTCCAAGTACCGTAATATAATTAGTTGTCAAAGGGAGTCATTTGGTCAATAAATAAGCTAAACAATATGGTATTATATAATAATTTTTCTTTTGTATTTATTTTTGTTGTTTAAGAATTACCTTTACCTCGATTTAGTGCTCTGAAAAGTGATAGTGAAATAAGGTACATCAATCTATCAGAAGCACATGGAGCAAAGTTTCAGAGTCCACATACAATCCTTGAGATAAATTGCTTCAGAAGATCAGATGAAGAAGAAAAACAGGTAAATCCCTTTTAAATATATCTTTTACTGTGGGATGAACTACAAGATTTCATTTTATGATATCATACTGACAAAATCAGATAGATCTTGATTAGTATTTTAGTTCATTTTATTGGTAAAGTCTCTTGACACAGACTGGGAATTACAGCTGATTATTTAGTCATTGCAGATTCTTTCAACAAGAAATATCAATTGCCTATTCTTAGAGAATTAAGATTGCTTATCTCTTATATGATCAACTTGCTGTTCATTTTAAGCAGATGAACTACAGAATTTTCTTTTAGATACAAAAAAGATTTTTATTAGCTATGCGGAAAATCACCTGGAGCCAAATTCAGTAGAACATTCACTTTAAGAGAGTTGCATTTGTCAGTAGTACTGGGAGAGAATTGCTATTTTCCTCATCCTCAAAATCTACTATAGTAGATCAAAAGATCCTTCATAAGATATAGGGGGAGAGCCACAAGAAAGAGAAGAAAGTCTTAATATAAGCAGACTTTTGTTTACATAGTACTTTTGCTGGTTTTATATGAAGCTAATAAAGACTTACTAACAATTATTCATAGTGTAAATGTTGAAATTTAAAGTTGAAATTTAAATGTGAAACAACTTTATGTTTGCTTGTTTTGAGGTGTCAAGGTGTTAGTTACCTAACAAAGATTGTTCAGTATTAAATTCCTTTCTATTCTAACTACCATATTTTTTGGAGTATAAGGTGCTCCAGACTATAAGACGCACCTATCTTTTTTGGGGAGGAAAACAAGAAAAAAAATCTGCCTGTCCCAACAACTTGCCTCCTTGCAGCAAACAGCCTGCTTTAGTTTCATTTTCAGCACAGCCTGATTAGCACAAGAAAAAAAAAATCTGGCTCCCAGCAACTTGTCTCCTTGCAGCAAACTGCGGAAGCCCGCACGGCCATAGACAATGCAACCCCTGCAGCCTGAAACAGCTGGGTTTCAGAGGGTCAGGAAGCCGATCCAACTGACAATCAGCTGCTTGTGCTAATCAGGCTATGCTGAAGCTGAAACGGTCTGTTTGCTGAAAGGAGGTAAATCGCTGGGAGGCAGAGGCTAAGGGTGGGCGGGGCTATATTCGGTGTATAAGACACACCCAAATTTTCACCCTTTTATGGGGGTGGGGGAAAAGTGCATCTTATACTCCGAAAAATATAGTATTCTGCCATTCAATATCATTCTACTTTGTGGCACCCACTGAACATTATTGAACATTTTTCCCCTGGAGATTACACTTGCCCCAACCCTACTGGCTTTGTATCTTATTTTTATTCGTTGTTAGTTGCCCAGAGTCATTTATTTGAGATGGGCAGCTATATAAATTGAATAAATAAACCATTAAAATGAACTACTTTCCTTCAATTGCCAAGAATCAGGTAGTAAATATTCATATCTAAGATGAATATTCACAGAAGAAAATCACTGTACAAATTTGTTTCAGGTCAAGCTGAAATTTTGCTGACTCTGTTAACTGACGTAAATTCAATAATCCATATGTTATTACAACGTTTCTCTTGAAGGAAGAAGCAAAGTCTCCTCCCATGTCTCCCATTGGTTCCCATCCTGCTTCTCCCTCAAATTACCAGAGAATTCCTTTGGGTTATGGATATAGTATACTGAGAAGTGGGCTTGAGCAACAGCATGGAGGTAAGTTAATGATTACCTTTGCTGTTGTTGTAAGTGTCTATAAGCCGCACTACCAAAAGGTGTGATCAATAATCAAGAGACTCCTCCTGCAGGATTGAGGAGGAGCTATGTAAAGTAGATGAGCCCCATGGCATGAGAAAGTGAGCACCTCTACCAGCAGCTGAACAAGTCACTCTAAAGGTTAGTTATTGTAAGGAGCAATATGAAACTCTACAACCACACTGACTTAGCAAAACTGCCACAACTGAGCAAGGAGGAGTAAATATACATTTATTGCAGACATATCTTGTATGGATGGAAGAAATGCTTATGGGAGAAGGAGGACCACCATATGCAGCCTAACTCCACCCCCTCCACCCCAATTGTTAAGTGTCATTTTATACAAAACTTCTGAATTATAAGAAACATTTATGCGAAAAATTTTGAGCTAACATGCCAGAGGTAACATTTTAAAATATTTGTAACCTGCCCCAATTGCTTGGAATCTTCCTGGGAGGATCAGGTTCCACATTAAAAAAAATATGGAGTGCTCAGTTTGCTTAAGAGTTTATCACCTAGAAAATGGAACTAATTCTTGTTCTTGCTTTTCACATAGTAAATTAGAATATTGCATGCCTAACTTGATCATTTACTATCATATTCTAATAAATCTTTTAAAACTTGTGGCAGTAGAATATCAGAGATCTTGGGAATGTTTTGGTCTTCAAATATACAGTGTTAATAAAACAAGTATATTCTCCAATTGTTTATAAAATTGCCTTTACAATTCACTCAACGTACTGCTAAATTGTAGTCAGATATCTGCAGAATGTGGTCAACACTTCATATTGCTATATTTAAATAATATAACATAGAATATAACCTAATACATGTTTTATTCTTTGCAAAACAAGTTTATATCCAGTAAACATATTTTAATATTTATTCACTTTCACAGTTAGCTGGGCAAGTTGAAATTTAAATAGCTTGTTTCTTAGATATCAATGCCTTCAAACCATTCTTTCCTTGCGATAAAAAAATTCATTGAAGATATTTACTCAAAAATGGTATATGAAAGATTATTTCTTAATACATGGTCTACATCTATATCCACATCTATATATTCATTTCTCTTTCTTTCTCTCTCCATGCACATTGATACATACACTGGCATTAGTTAATTTTTTTCCTTTTCCACCCTTTCATATCAGTCCCACCTAACCTCCAAAAATAATGTTTACAAATGAGGTGGACTATAGTAGAAAAAGGAATTATTGCGGGGAAAAGGAGATTTTTGAAAATGAGGCATTACCAGGTTTCTCTATTCTATGAATAGTATAAAAAAATAACTAATTGCACAACTTCCTCTTTTCTATATCATTGAAATATAATATGAAAGAAAGTGTCATTTCTTCTAAAATATGGAGAATCACACGATATATGAATTTATTTTTAACAGTATTGTTTCCTTTTTTTGATTATGTGAACTGTATGTTTAACTGCAAAAAATGTTTAAGCTGAGAAGTTAACTAATTATGCAGCTTGTATTTGATATTATAATGTATAAATATGGGAGAATGGAGTGATAGAAGAATAACAAAACATATACTTTATTTTCTTATGCCTCAAGTAAATCATAAGGAATCTCAGACATGTCTGCTATGTTGGATCTTCTGTTTGAATCCTTAGAAATGTGATGATCAGAATAAACAATATTAACTACCCTGTTTCCCCTAAAATAAGACATCACCTGATAATAAGCCCAAACGGGCTTTTGAGTGCATGCAATAAAATAAGCACACACATCCCGAAAATAAGCCCTCCCCAAAAATATTTAAACACATGCGCAGCCAGTCCCCACCATTTCCTCTGGTTTCCTCCATGCACCCCAAAATAATAAGACCTCCCCGAAAAGAAGGCCAAATGCTTATTTCGGGGTTCAAAAAAATATAAGACCAGGTCTTATTTTCAGGGAAACACGGTAGGTAGACAGATGCCCTGATGTTGAAAAAACAGCTTTGTATTCTTTTCTAAAAAATAAATCATTTATCTATCTAAAAGTGATAATACTGTTATTGCAACAAGTTCACAAAATATAAAAAGGAAAATGATCTTACAAATATACAGGATATTACTGGGCAAAGCCTTCTGATTATCTGAGGCTACAAAGGAATACCTTGTATTACTTGTCTTAACTTGTCTTAGCTATATTACGTTAGGATTAGTTTATTTATTTTTTATTTATTATAATTAAAACTGCTTATTTTTTTCCCTCAACTGTAAGGTGCCATAGTTTTCAGAGTGAAGACAAGGTTATTTAAATAAGCATTTTAAATAACAACCACTACAGAAATTTAAAAACATATTGATCATTTGTTATATATCACAAATGACAACAATAGACAGCTTTGTTGTAACATTGAGTGAACATGATAAATGTTGGTTTAACCTACTGCAGAAAGTTGCAAATTTAGTTTAATTAGAGCTCAGGTTAAAAACAAAAAGAAATTGCTGTTCTGAGAGATATTAGATATTTTTTGTGAATAATGAATTAACCCAGGGGTGAAATGCTCCTGGTTCGGATCGGATCGCCCGATCAGGTAGCGATGGCGGCGGGTGGTTCGGAGAACCAGTAGCAAAAATCCCTGTGGCCCCCCCTCCCCACCATGCCCAGCTGAGCCACACGATCATCAGAGGCTTTTCTTTTTTTTACTTTTAAAAGCATTTTTTCTACAACCTTCCGACAAAAAAATGCTTTTAAAAGTAAAAAAAAAAAAAGCCTCTAATGATCGCGCAGCTCAGCTGGGATCGTCAGAGGCTTTTCAAAGCATTTTTTTTTTGCAACTTCTTGGCCGAAGAGGTGGTAAAAAAAATGCTTTGAAAAGTCTCTGATGATCCCAGCTGAGTTGCGTGATCAGCAGAGGCTTTTCAAAGCATTAGAAAAAATGCTTTAAAAAGTTAAAAAAAAAAAAAAGTTGGCCATGGCCACCCAGTCACATTAACCTTCCCCACCAAGCCATGCCCAAAGAACTGGTAGTAACAAATTTCACATTTCACCCCTGAATTAACCTATTTAGAATCAAGCCTCTGTGTTAAAAAACCATTTGTCATTTGAACCTTCTTCATTAACCTTTTTCCTTAACCTTTATCCATCCTAATAGTGCTTATGTAATAAAGTGAATTTTACACATGTGTATGTATGTTTAAAATTATTTGGTATAAGACAAGATCCAAACTTTGTAATTTTTTATTTTGGTTTAGCATATGTTTTGCGTTCGTCTTAATCTTGCATAGGTTCCTATGAAGCTAGGCATTCTATTCAAGATGGATTGACTTCAGGGAATTATGGACCCAAATCAATGCCAACTCGCTCATGTGTTATACAGGTAATTTGCATGAGATGCAAAAATAACTGAAAATAAACTTTCTGCATGGGCTGCATACGTATTGAAAAATAAATTTTGATTTTTATAATCAATATTACATGAACTAGTCTTGAATGAGACCAATAGGTAGTTGCTAGTAGTATTTTGCAGCAAAGGACAATTGCAGTCTAAAACTAGTAAAGCTTATCTGAGAGCTAATATAAGCTCTGGCCTTTAGAATATGTGTGAAATGGAAGCATTTTACAACTATACAGGATCAGCTACAGGATAAAGTGAGATTGTGTTCCACCTAATTTAAGTACAAGTAGTCCTTGACGTATAACCACAATTGAGCCCAAAATTTCTGTTGCTAAGTGAGACATTTGTTGAGCGAATGTTACCCCATTTTACAACCTTTCTTGCCACATCTGTTAAAAGAATCACTGAAGTTGCTAAGTTGGTAACATGATTGTTAAGTGAATCTGACTTCCACATTGACTTTCCTTGTCAGAAGGTCACAAAAAGGGATCACATGACCCTGGGACACTACAACCATCATAAGTATGAGTCAGTTGCCAAACATCTGAATTTTGATCATGTGACCATGGGGTATTGCAACTGTTGTAAATGTGAAAAATGGTCATAAGTCACTTTTTTCAGTTCCATTGTAAGTTTGAACAGTCATTAAATGAACAGTTGTAAATTGAGGACTACTGGTATTAATTTATATTAGCTTTTATATTAGGATTAAGATTCACAGGTTGGAGGGCAAACATAACAGTATTGAATCAATGCCAGATATTTTAGTTTGTCTCCGTCTACCTGAAGTCATCATTCGTCCACTTTTTCACAGTGCTTTGGGTAAGACAAAGGGCTTCAGACTGAAACAAACTTCCAGATCTTATTGGCAGCAGCTTGAGTAAATCAAAATGTTCACTACCCTGAGATTCATGCTGCCATTATTTGCATGTACACAAAAAAATAGTGCATCTGTGTATAACTAAAAGAGGGTTCCACAGAACAGAGGCAATTTTGTATATCAGAAAGAGATTTCTAAAGAACAGAATTATTTATTCCTGGTGTGCTTGCTTGGAAATGTTAGATGCTAGAGTTGTTTTTTGAGATTTGATCTTACACCATTCTATTGACAATGAGTCCAATCAATCAACTATTTATCTGTGATTCATTTGGAACTTGTCTTATTTTCCTTGTTTGGAAATGTGAGGATTGTTAGCAATTTATTTAAGAAGTTTTCTTTTATACCTCATAGGTAGATTTTATCTCCTTAGTTTGTAAACCCTTCCACTGGAAAAGATTATACATTAAATATCCCTGGCATTCATTTTTGGCAATTTTTGATATGTATGGCTTCTGGAAAATAATGTTATGCAAATTCAACAGAAGTATCAATGCTATTTATTTTTAAAAGAATGACATAGTAGGAACAGAGCATAGTTAATGCTTTGAAACATCGGGACGCTCAGTTTTTTTGTTATCCTTCCAAAAAAACATTTTCCTTTTTTGAAGTCTCTTTCAATAGAAAGAGAACCAAAGGACAGCAGTAGTAATTACCCAGATGACCTTTGGAGGGTAACTGAGGAACAACGGGACTATTATATCAATCAATTCAAGTCTTTACAACTGGACCTCAACTCTTTCATTTCAGGTAATGTCCTTTGTAAACATAGAAAGTAATACTAGACTGAGAATCCTGGGCGAGTAAATGAAATTCATATAGACAAATGCAAAATGTGTAACTGTGTGTGTGTTGATAGGGGTGGGGATGGGTTATACACAATAGATAGTACCTGGTTTCCTGATATCTATTAAACAAATACAGAAAATAAACATATGGGATTATTTACATGAAATTAAATATTATTTACTATAATAATTGGAGTTCTATATTGTCCTATCTAACATATTTTTAATAGCAATGTAATATTTGAGCTCAAGAAACTAGAGTTTCCCTTATTTATGCTTGATAGAGATAATAAAAACTATATTATTCTGATAAGGATTTCAATTATGAAACCACAGTTGATTTGTAGTTGCTAATAAAACCAAACAAATTATATGTAGAAAATGTACAGAACAATTATTCAAAGCCATTATTTTATTTGTTAGCTTTACTCATACTAGAGCATTGCTTTTATTGCTCATTTTAATCTTATTTTAAATGATAATAGCCAAAGGTGATTTTGAAATAAATCCTATATTTTAATGTATAATATTCAATAAAACATAAGAGGGGGTTGATGTAATATCAAATATAAGCACCATTTCATTGCAAGAAACCAACCAACCAATGGACAGCTTGGCTACAGCTATAACTGAATAGCTGAGATACAAAATCAAGAAACAAGAAGAAAAAAGCTAAACAGTGCATCACTAACATGGAAGTTCAGGTTGGAACACAAGATCAGCAAGCTAAGATCAGATGCAAACAAGTTAGAACAGTTGAAAAAAAAGAAGCCAAGTTACAAGATCAAAGAGTTTCTGATCAAGAAATGCCACCTAGAGACTTCTGGTTTGCTTCCTGCCGCCGAAAGACGGTCCCGTTTTCGGACCGCCAGCCCCGCTGCCTGTCAGAGCCGCTTCGATCAAGAGAAGCGGCTCGGAAGTTCCCGAATCCTGAAGGATTAGAGGAATAGAGTCGGCGAGAAGCAGGTAGAGCCCCTGTGAGCCCCCAGATAGCTATCCTTTGCTTCTGGGGAGGAAACAGGCGCGGCTCCCTTTCAGCTCGCCGAGACTCCGGACAGCGTGGGACGAGTCTACCCAGCGTAGAACAAGGCGGCAGGATCAACCTTTCTACTGAAAACAAAGCAAATTCAAACAAACAGGGTAGAATAACAACTTGAACCACGAAACTGCAAGTATTACTAGCCCTGTGATTAACTTTAAAACAAAAGAGTGAATGAGTGAAAGTCTCTTGAAAATGGCGCCCGGCTTCAGCATTAACGAGAGCTGAAAGCAAGAGTGGATTAGCAAAGTTATTTCAACAAGTTACAAAATAGCATTGTCTGTAACAAGTGGAGGAAAAGGGGATTCTCCTTAAAACAAGTCTGATTTTGCTTCAATTTCATCTTTAATTTGACTAAACCTGGGGGAATTTTTTAGAGGACTCTGTGGTGGAGGAAAGGGAAAAAGGATTTCCTTTTTTGGAAAAGCCAGACTATGTGGCAGGATGGCTTCTAAGCAGACTAAACAGGAAGTAAAGGCGGCAGGGGTGGGACACATAAACCTGAACAGCAGCCTCCCAGCCAGCAGAGCCAGAAAAAAGAGATTGATCTTGAAAGTTTAAAGGATTTCATTACTCAGGCTTTGATGAGGCAAGATGAAAATTTGGATGAGAAGTTTAAAAAGTCACAACAGGAAATCAAGCAGGAGATTAAAGAAATTAAAGAGGTGGTGCAAGAAAAATATGACAAGATGACTCAAAAATTAATGACAGTGGTGACTGGATTGTCAGAAGCAATTATTAAAACTGATAATAAGGTGGAAGAATTTAGATCAGAAATGGATGTCAAAATGAAGGAGACTGACTATAAAATCTTTGATGCTGACAATAAAATGCAGAGACTTGAAAATGAGATCACAATGATGCAGTTCAGGTCTATGGAATTTGCCATAAGGCTGAGAGGCTTAAAAGAGAATGATAGACAAGACCTGAGACAGACTTGTGCTGATGCTCTAGCTGTGCTGTTAAAGATTAGCCCTGAAGAGATTTTTTGTGAAATGGATAAAGTGTACAGAGTGAATTCGTGGGTGGCCAGACAAAGACAATTGCCCAGAGATGTGGTGATATACTTTACAGATAGAAAAATGAGAAATGATATTTTGCAAAAGTCTTTTCTCTCTGCTGTGCAAGTGGAGGGAAAGGAGATTGGAGTTTATAAAGAGCTACCACCTAAGATGTTAAAAGATAGAAAGGATTTTGGCTTTCTAGTGAATGAATTAAAAAAACAACAAATTCCATTCAGGTGGGATGCTCCAACTGGTATAATCTTGAGGTATAAGGGAGAAAGATACCGATTAAATACTGTTGAGAAGGCGGAAGAATTCTATTCTAATGTCTTTAAAGAGAGTTCACCATTCCCACGTACATCCTCTGTGTTGGAGATAAAGGAGAGTGATAAAGAGAAGCAATTTCAGCAAGAGATGGAAGAGCAGCCCAAGCAGCTGGAACTAGAGGCAATGGAAATGCAGGGAGCTACAGGAGGTTTTCTGGATGAGCCCCTGCTAGATCTTACTTCGAAAACTGTGACTGAACCACCTAAGACTACAGGAGAAGTGGCTTTGGACCTAGCCCGGATGTGTGAAGCTAAAGATCAGCATATAACTCGAGCAATTTCTAAGCAACTCAAAGAAAAACAACAACAGGAAAGGCCCAAGCCACAGCAATAAAGGAGTCAAGGGTAATACACAAGAAAGTGAAGCCATGGGGGGAGCAAAGCCAAAGACTACCGACTCGGAAAATCTTCGGCAAATGTGCTTGTCGCTTCAAAAAAGTGTACATGACGATTAAGTTTTTATCTTGGAATGTGAATGGATTAAATTCACCACAGAAAAGGAAGAAATTATTTATTTACTTGAGACAATTTAACAATGATATAATTTGTTTACAAGAAACTCATGTTAGAACACAAGATCAAAAATATCTGATAAATTCAAGATTAGGAACACATTTTATAGCTTCAAATTTGGAAAAAAAGAATGGTGTGGTTATTTATATAAATAAAAGACTGTCAGCTAAAATTATAGAAGCAGATGAATGTGGTAGGTTTATAGCAATTGAACTGCACACAGCAAGTGGCCCAATTCTAGTGATTGGAATTTATGCTCCTAATCAACAACAGGACAATTTTTATAAAACTTTGCATTCTAAAATATTGCAATGGGACTGTAGATCTATTTTAATTATGGGAGATTGGAATGGAGTAATTGATTCTAAAATAGATAAAAAGAGTTTGGCGAAGTCAAGGATTAGACTACCACAGACTTTTTTTGATATGAAAGAAGATTTGGAATTAAAAGATATTTGGAGAATACATAACCCAAAAGAATTGGATTTTACTTTTTTTTCAGATAGACACAGATCCTTTTCTAGGATTGATTTTATTTTACTATCAGCTGACCTACTTGTAAAAACAAAAAGAACAAAGATTTTTCCAAGGACTTTAACTGACCATAGCCCGGTATGGATAGAAATTGAGATGGGAAAGAGCGAGAGAAGATCATGGAGATTAAATGAAAATCTGTTTAGATACGAAAAGAATATAACAGAATTTAAAAAGCAGATGAAAGAATTTTTTGAAATAAACTTGAATAAGGGTACCCCTATTGAAATCGTGTGGGATGCGAGTAAAGCATATATGAGAGGGGTACTCATCCATATGAACTCTAAACACAAATTAAATCGACAAAAGAAAAGATCTGAAATGGAAGCAGAAATAAAGAATAAAGAACAGTTACTTATAAAAAACTCAACAGATGAAAGAATACGAGGAGCTATAAAACTTCTGAAAGATCAATTTCAAATGCTTATGGCGGAACAAACAGCAACAAATCTACAATTTGCGAAACATAACACATTCTGCAACGCTAACAAACCGGGCAGATGGTTGGCTTACACACTGAGGAAGAGGCAGAGTACATGGATCATTGATAGTATTGATACTGGAGGGAAGGAAATTTCTCAACAAAAATTAATTAAAGAAGTTTTTGTAGATTATTATACTAAATTATATGCCAAAGATGATATACAGAATGGACTTATAGAGAAATATCTAGAAAATAAAAGAGTTACAAAAATCACTAGCCAACAAAAGGAGAGAATGAATCATCTTATAACAGCTGAGGAGATTATTGTCGCAATTAAACAATTGAAAACAACTAAAGCTCCTGGGACGGATGGTTTAACTGCGGTGTACTATAAAACTTTACAAGCAGAAATGATTTAACATCTTAAAGATCTATTTTGTAGTATACAACAAGGGGGTAAAATACCCCCATCATGGAAAACAGCATATTTTTCATTGATACCGAAAGAGCAAGTAGGTCCTAAAAAACCTGAGAATTTTAGACCAATATCTCTTCTGAATAATGACTATAAAATATTTGCAAAAGTACTAGCCAACAGGTTGATGCCAGTTATTCAAGAGGTGATTCATTGTGATCAAGCGGGATTTATAGAAGGCAGATACATGAAGGACAATGTAAGGCAAGTTATAGATTTACTGGAATATCTTGAGAAGAATAAACAGATCCCTGCAGTGCTGGTTTTCTTGGATGCGGAGAAGGCCTTTGATAGAGTGGATTGGGACTTTCTATTAAAGACATTAAAAAAGATGGACTTTGGGGATCAATTTATGCAGGCGGTTTCAGCAATTTATCAAGAACAAAAGGCACAGATTATTATTAATAGAAGTTTGACAACAGACTTTAATATTGAAAAAGGAACAAGACAAGGTTGTCCGTTATCCCCATTGTTATTTATTTTAACCTTAGAAGTCTTGTTGAATACAATACGGGACTCGAGCACCTTGAAAGGAATAGTGATAAGGCAAGAGGATTACAGAATAAGGGCATTTGCAGATGATCTGGTTGTTACCCTAACACAGCCGATGGAATCAATAATCCAGATGAAAGACATTATAGAACAAT